CAGGCAAGACTGCTGACCTTTAAAAGTCAGCTTTAAGCCTCACACTTTGCAACAAAAACATGAAGATCAGTCCCTCATATTTTCCAGGCCAAGGGCTTTGGTGAAATATTCTCCTGGTGTGTTCCCCTTTGTGGCCATGTCTCTCACCCTTCTCTGTGACCACAGGTACCTCCCCTTCACAGTACCTGTGATCCATTTTCCACTAAATCACATCTCCATACTGACTAAATTCTTACCACTTGACTGTGGCCTCTTTTCTCCCTTTATTTTTTTTTCAAGTTCACAAAATAACTCTTTATTATTTCAGGCAAGAAGCCTGGATGCTCTTTTCTCCCTTTAGTTGTGGAGTTGTTCTGTCCATCTTCAGGTTGATTTCTGCCATATTTAGATAGTTATTTAGATGTGTTCATGGGGTGAGGTGAGCCTCAGACCTACTACTCCACTGCCATCTTCCTGTCAAGCTTCACCTTCCAAAGGTTTTTTTTTATTTTGTATATTTTTTATTGGAGTTCAATTTGCCAACATATAGTATAACACCCAGTGCTCATCCCATCAGGTGCCCCCCTCAGTGCCCATCACCCAGTCATCCCATCCCCCGTCCACCTCCCCTTCCACTACCCCTTCTTCCTTTCCCAGAGTTAGGATTCTCTCAAGTTCTGTCACCCTCTAAGATATTTCCCACTCATTTTCTCTCCTTTCCTCTTTATTCCCTTTCACTATTTTTTATATTCCCCAAATGAATGAGACCATATAATGTTTGTCCGTTTTTAATTGACTTACCTCATGCAGCATAATACCTCCAGTTCCACCCACGTTGAAACAAATGGTGGGTATTTGTCATTTCTAATGCCGGAGTAATACTCCATTGTATATATGGACCACATCTTCTCTATCCATTCATCTGTTGAAGGACAGATGTGGACATTGTGGACATTGCTGCTATAAACATTGGGGTGCAGGTGTCTCAATTTTTCACTGCATCTGTATCTTTGGGGTAAATCTCCACTAGTGCCATTGATGTGTCGTAGGGCAGATCTCTTTTTAACTCTTTGAGGAAACTGCACAGAGTTTTCCAGAGCAGCTGCACCAGTTCACATTCCCACCAACAGTGCAACAGGGTTCCCCTTTCTCCACATCCTCTCCGACATTTGTTGTTTCCTGTCTTGTTAATTTTCACCATTCTCACTGGTGTGAGGTGGGATCTCATTGTGGTTTTGATTTGTATTTCCCTGATGGCAAGTGATGCAGAGCATTTTCTCATGTGCATGTTGGCCATGTCTATGTCTTCCTCTGTGAGATTTATGTTTAATTCTTCTGCCCATTTCATGACTGGATTGTTTGTTTCTTTGCTGTTGAGTTTAATAAGTTCTTTATAGATCTTGGATCCCAGCCCTTTATCTGATACGTCATTTGCAAATATCTTCTCCCATTCTGTAGGTTGTCTTTCAGTTTTGTTGACTGTTTCCTTTGCTGTGCAGAAGCTTTTTATCTTGATGAAGTCCCAGTAATTCATTTTTGCTTTTGTTTCCCTTGCCTTCATAGATGTATCTTGCAAGAAGTGGCTGTGGCCAAATTCAAAAAGGATGTTGCCTCTGTTCTCCTCTAGGATTTTGATGGATTCTTTACTCACACTGAGATCTTTCATCCATTTTGAGTTTATCTTTGTGTCTGGTGTAAGAGGATGGTCTAGTTTCATCCTTCTGCACCTGGCTGTCCAATTTTCACAGCAACATTTATTGAAGAGACTGTGCTTTTTCCAGTGGATACTCTTTCCTGCTTTGTCAAATATTAGTTGACCATAGAGCTGAGGGCCCATTTAAGGATTCTCTATTCTGTTCCATTGATCTATGTGTTTGTTTTTGTGCCAGTACCACACTGTCTTGATGATCACAGCTTTGTAGTACAACCTGAAATCTGGCATTGTGATCCACCAGCATTGGTTTTCTTCTTCAATATTCCTCTGGCTATTTGGCATCTTTTTTGACTCCACACATATCTTAAGATGATTTGTTTCAACTCTCTGAAGAAAGTCCATGGTATTTTGATAGGGATTGCTTTGAATGTGTAAATTGCCCTGGGTAGCATTTAACATTTTCACAATATTAATTCTTCCAATCCATGGCATAGAATATTTTTCCATCTCTTTGTGTCTTCCTCAATTGCTTTCAGAAGTTTTCTGTAGTTTTTTTAAAGATTTTATTTATTTATTCATGATAGACAGAGAGAGAGAGAGAGAGAGGAGGAGGAGGAGACACAGGCAGAGAGAGAAGCAGGCTTTATGTAGGGAGCCTGATGTGGGACTCGATCCTGTGACTCTGGGATCTTGCCTTGGGCTGAAGGGAGGCACTAAACCACTGAGCCACCCAGGGATCCCCTGTGCCCTAGTTTTTAAGGTATACATCTTTTACCTCTTTGATTAGGTTTATTCCTGGGTATCTTATGCTTTTGGGTGCAATTGTAAATGGGATTAACTCCTTAATTTCTCTTTCTTCAGTCTCATTGTTAGTGTATAGAAATGCCACTGATTTCTGGGCATTGATTTTGTATCCTGCCACACTGCCGAATTGCTGGATGAGTTCTAGTAATCTTGGGGTGGAGTCTTTTGGGTTTTCTTGTTCTTGTACAGTATCATGTCATCTGTGAAGAGGGAGAGTTTTACTTCTTCTTTGCCAATTTGAATGCTTTTTATTTCTTTTTGTGGTCTGATTGCTGAGGCTAGAACTTATATGCTATGTTGAATAGCAGTGGTCAGAGTGGACATCCCTGTCGTGTTCCTGATCTTAGGGGAAAGGCTCTTAGTTTTTCTACATTGAGAATATTTGCTGTGGGCTTTTCATAGATGGCTTTTAAGATGATGAGGAATGTTCCCTCTATCCCTACACTCTCAAGAGTTTTGATCAGAAATGGATGCTGTATTTTGTCAAATGCTTTCTCTGCATCTTTTGAGAGGATCCTATGGGTCTTGTTTTGTCTCTTGTTGATGATCTATTACTTTGATTGTTTTATGAATGTTGAACCAGGCTTGCATCCCAGGGATAAATCCCACTTGGTCATGGTGAATAATCTAAATGTACTGTTGGATCCTATTGGTTAGTATCTTGTTTAGAATTTTTGCATCTGTGTTCATCAGGGATATTGGTCTATAATTCTCCTTTTAGGTGGAGTCTTTGGTTTTGGAATCAGAGTGATGCTGGTCTCATAAAATGGGTTTAGAAGTATTCCATCCCTTTCTAGCTTTCGGAACAGCTTTAGTAGAATAGGTATTTTTTCTTCTTATATGTTTGATAGAATTCCCCTGGGAAGCCATCTGGCCCTGGACTTCTGTGTCTTGGGAGGTGTTTGATGACTGCTTCAATTTCCTCCCTGGTTATTGGCCTGTTCAAGTTTTCTATTTCTTCTTGTTCCTGTTTTGGTAATTTGTGGTTTTCCAGAAATGCATCCATTTCTTCTAGATTGCCTAATTTATTGGCATATAGCTGCTCATGATAAGTTCTTTAAATCATTTGTATTTCCTTTGTATTGGTTGTGATCTCTCCTTTTTCATTCATGATTTTATTAATTAGAGTCTTTTCTCTTTTGTTTTTAATAAGGCTGGCTAATGGTTTATCTATCTTATTAATTTTTTCAAAGAACCAACTCCTGGTTTTGTTGATCTGTTCTACAGTTCTTCTCATGTTTAAGTGAAGGTTTTCCTCATTGATTTTACCCTTATTTATAGATACCACACTCTCATATCCCCAGCTCTTTCACTTGTGTGTAGATATTCATTTCCTTCTCAGGCATGAAAATGTAATTAAGAGACCAGCTTCAGCAGAGGAAAAATAATTTTTATTTAAAACCATGGATCTCAAACTTTGCTGCACATTAGTCACCTGAGGAATTTCTAATAGTGGTGATGCTCAGGTTTCCACTCCAGAGAGTGTGATGCAACTGACCTGTGTGCATCCTATGCTTTGTGAAGCTTGCAACCTTACCAAATTATTATAATGGCCATTTAGAGTTGAGAACCACTAGTCTTAACATGCTTGTGTTCTTCACAGCCATATAAGCCAGCTAATTAATATTGTGGCAGTTTAAACTCTGTTTTTCAAAAAGTTAACTGACAATAAGTTTTCCCTCATACTTTTTATGCCAGACTAGCCATAGCTTTAAAAATCATACTTCCTCTGATGTATACAAGCAATCTTTTTTTAAAGAACCCTGATTTTTTTAAAAATTTTATTTATGTATTCATAGAGACACACACACAGAGAGAGGGAGAGACACAGGCAGAGGGAGAAGCAGTCTCCAAGCAGGGAGCCCGATGTGGGACCCAATCCCGGGGCTCCAGGATCACGCCCTGGGCTGGAGCAGTGCTAAACCCGCTGAGCCACCAGGGCTGCCCACAAGCAATCTTTATATTGAATGAAGTTATGCTAAAAAATCCAGGGCTTTCTTTAATGGAAACTAAGATGATATTATCTGCTTCTTATAGTTAATTAGGCTCATTTTAAGTCCCAAAGATATAAAAGCAAATAAAAGTAACTGAATGAGGTTTTTTTCTTCCTATAATTATGCTAACCTTACTTAACTGAGGAAATTATCTTTTTTTCAAAATACCTTCACCAAATAAAGTGTCAAGAAATATTTTATATTCCATGTCATATTTTAATGTATGTATTTTTAGTGGACATGAATCTATCAAATTTTACTCAAAGAGGTTTATGGGAAATTGCAGAGTTAAAAATATATACCTCATTAGGAAAAATTTCTACAGTTGAGTGTTTTTCATAACTGTGTTTTATTACATTTGGTTCAATGGTGACACATTTAAAATTAAAAGTAAGAAGGAAATTCCATATCTAATTTTTTACTTTAAATATGAAAATTTGAGGCTATTAAGATCAAGCTCTAGTCTAATGACTAGGCTATGTTTGATAACCAGTAGGAAAGACAAGCATGTTCCTGGGAATGTTCTACCATAGTGTGCTTTGAGTCACAACTACATGTTTGTTTCACAGCTACAGAAAAAGTTTGAGCATCTTAAAAGAGTCCAACAAGAGGAGACAATGAAACTTGAGGAGGAGAGAAGACAACTGGAAGAAGAAATAATAGATTTTTATAAAATGAAGGCTGTTTCTGAAACATTACAGACTCAAGTGTGCACCAACATAAAGAAAGAGAAAGATCGTAAGAAATAGTCCTCTCTTACTATTCTGTGCATTGTAGAACCCTATCATGCTCAATTCTACCTTCCTATAAGATTACCTTCATAGTACTTAATTGTACTAATTTTTAAAATTTGTATTCTTATTGTATATGTTCCCCAACTAGAATGTTAACTCCTCAAGAGCAGGTACCCTGATCATCTTGTTGGATTCTGTAACCTCAGTGTTTACAATAAAGTTTCCATTCAATAAATATTTGCTAAAAAGAAAAAATAATCATTTTTAAAGACTATTTATTTATTTATTTATTCATGACAGACTTAAAGAGAGAGAGGCAGAGACACAGGCAGAGGGAGAAGCAGGCTGCATGCAGGGAGCCTGACATGGGACTCGATCCTAGGACTCCAGGATCATGCCCTGGGCCAAAGGCGGTGCCAAACCATTGGGCCACAGGGGCTGCCCAGAAAAAAACAATCAAAAGAATATATAGCACAGTGTAAGTAATGTAGATTAGCTATGGGATTTTTTTTTTTACCATAACTCCGGCTATGATTCCAGTGCACATTTTTTAACATATCTAAATATACAAGTAGGAGATTTTTTAAAAAAGAACTAGGAGATTTGTTCATGAGCCATATGCATAAAATATGGTATAAAAAGCTAATCTTAGGAGAGAGTAGTTAAGATGGTGAAGAAGTAGGGAGATTCTGGGCTTTCCCTGTCACTTAAACACAGCCATATTGAGGTCAGATCACTTGGAATACCCAGGACATTGATCTGAGGATTGGAAGAAGGATCTCCACAGTTTGAGGGAGACAGCATGGCAGGTGTGAGGCACATTGAAATGAATTAGGGAGATAAAAACTTTTGTGCTGCAGAGGGGACGGAACTGTTTCCACAAAGAGAGAAAAGGGAGAGTGGGATAGGGGAATTAAAAGAGTGAGGTATTGGGTTCTCACAAGAAGAAAACCTCTTGGACCAAGACTGAGGAGCTTGGAAACTGAGTGGCATTAATGTTTCACAGTGTGTGGAGCTCACACTCAGAGGTTTTGAAAGCATGTGACTTTCATAGGAGCAGACCTGTAACATGCACTCCTGGAGAGAAGGAGGGCTCTGGCCTTGGAATGCACACAGAATGGTGTAGGGATCACCAGGGTAACAGAGATTGTTCCCCCTCCTGCAGTACATTTGGAAGAGGGCATATTGCTTCTCCAAGGAAAAAGATCCTGCAGGCACCAGCAAATGGCCTTTCATAAGCAGGGGACAAAGGCGAGGGCAGAGGGTGGATATCCTGGTCACTGCTTTTTGAGGTGGACATATCATAGCTTCTGAGCACTTCAAAGGCAGAGGACTGATTTTCTGGGGCAAAGGGCACTAGTCAGAGCACAGCTAAGCTCTAATCCAGAAAAAGAAGTAGATCTGAGTGGTTGGCTCCTTTAAGATTTGGAGTTTTGAATCCCAGCCCTGCCAAAGATAAAATGCAGAAGTGGGCTCTGGGTGTGCTAACAGCTTTCACTCTTCTGTGATGGCTTCCTGAACAGCAAGCAATGTGTGATCCCATCTGAGGAAGAGAGATGGGAATTTCACCATTTTACTCCTGCTACCAACACAGACATCAGAGAGCAACGAAGTGGCCACCAGTGGAGGTGGGAGCTGCTTATATCAATCCCAACTACCCCCCATCCTTTCTTGGCAACTGGTTTTTTTTTTTTCCACAAGGGCAGGATTGACTCTGAGCCAGCACAGAAGGCCTCTCCTGCAGAAGACCAAACAGGCAGCAGGCCACATGCACCGAGTCTATTAATCATGCAGTGCTTCAAAGCATCCCTTCAATTCTGGTAGAAATAGCCAGACTGTGTGTGTGTGTGTGTGTGTGTGTGTGTGTGCATGCGTGTGTGTGTGTGTGTATTATATGAAGGGATATATATATATATATATATATATATATAGGCTGTATATATGCTTATATACACACACATATATATATTTTTTTACTAATTCTTTTGTCTTTTCTTTTTGGAATCAGGCTTATAGTTTTATGTGTGTTTGTTAGTCTGTGTTTAAATTTATTTTTCTCATTTTTCTTTGGATCAGGCTTCTTTTTTTCTTTGCTTTATTTTTCCTTTCTTTTTCTTTGGAATCAAGCTAATTGTTTTGATTGTTTGGTTTTCTTTGTTCTCTTTCCTTTCCTTTTTTTGAGCAGGCTTTCCTTTTTCTCTTTTATCCCTCTCTCTCTTTTCTTTCTTTCCTTTTTTTCCAGGATTTTTTTTCAACAAACAAATCAAAGTATACTTACATAAATTAAAGGTCCAAGAACTCCCCATTGCAAATGAGGAAGAACTCTGCAGAGGACTGACCAAGTTATCAGCTAGGAATACTTCATACAGCAAGGCCTTCATTTAGAAGAGAAGGAAGATGAAGAGTTTCCAGGGCAAAGAAAAACTAAATGAGTTCATTACCACTAAGCAAGCCCTGCAGGAAATTAGAGGGGACACTTTGAGCAGAAAGAGAGACAAAAGGTAACAAAGACAAGAAAGGAACGAAGACAATCTACAGGAACAGGAACTTTACATGTAATACAGTGGCACTAAATTCATATCTTTCAATAATTACTCTGAATGTACATGGACACAATATTCCAAGCAAAAGACACAGGGCATCAGAATGGATAAAAAAATAAGACCCATTTCCATACTGTTTACAAGAGACTCATTTAGACCCAAAGACACCTCCAGATTGAAAGTGAAGGGACATGGGCAGCCCAGGTGGCTCAGAGGTTTAGCACTGCCTTTGGCCCAGGGCATGACCCTGGAGACCCAGGATCGAGTCCCACATCGGGCTCCCTGCGAGGAGCCTGCTTCTCCTTCTGCCTGTGTCTCTGCTTCTCTTTCTCTCTATGTCTCTCATGAATAAATAAATAAAATCCTTAAAAAAAAGAAAGTGAAGGGGCAGAGAACCATCTATCATGTTAATGGACATCAAAAGAAAGCTGCAGTAGCCATCCTTATACCAGAAAAACTAGATTTTAAAACAAGGACTGTAATAAGAGATGAAGAAGGGCACTATATCTTAATATAGGGTTCTTTCCAAAAGGAAGATCTAACAGTTGCAGATATTTATGCCCCTAACTTGAGAGCAGCCAAATATATACATCAATCTAATAATTCATATTAAAAAATCCATTGATAATAATACAATAATAGTAGAGGACTTTAACACCCTGCTCACAACAATGGACAGATCACCTCAGCAGAACAACAAGGAAACAAGGGTTTTGAATGCCACACTGCACCAGATGGACTTAGCAGATATATTCAGAGCATTTCATCCAACATCAACAGAATACACATTCTTTTTGAGTGCACATGGGAAATTCTCCAAAATAGATCACATCTTGGGTCACAAATCGGACTCAACTGGTCCAAAGAGATTGAGATCATACAATACGTAGTTTCAGATCATAATGCTATGAAATTTGGAGTCAACCACAAGAAAAAAAGTTGGAGGGATCACAAATAACTGCAGGTTAATAAACATCCTCCTAAAAAATGAATAGGTCAAGAGGAAATTATAGAAAGACTTAAAAATACATGGAAGCAAATGAAAATGAAGAAATGATATTCCAAAACATTTGAGGCATGCAAAGGTGACCCTAAGGGAGAAGTATATAGCAGTACATACCGATCTAAGAAGCAAAAGAAGTCTCAAATACACAACGTTATCTTACACCTAAAGAAGCTGGAAAAAATAGCAAATAAAGCCTAAATCCAGCAGAATAGGGGACATAAAAAAGATTTGAGAAGTAAACAATAATATAAAATTTTAAAAGCCAGTAGAACACATCCACCAAACTAGGAACCAGTTCTTTGCAGGAATTAACCAAATTGACAATTCCCCCTAGTCACACTTATCTAAAAGAAAAGAGAAAAGGCCCAAATAAATAAAATCACAACCACACCAAAGACATACAATTGTGGGAGAATACTATGAGTAAATGTATGGCAACAAATTAGGCAATCTAGAAGAAATGTATGCAGTCCTAGAAACATATAAACTTCTAAAACTAACAAAACTCAAACAAGGAGAAATTGAACAGCTGAACAGTTCCATAAACAGCAAAGAAATTGAAGCAGTCATCAAAATTCTCCCAACAAACAATATTCTAGGGCTGGATGGATTCCCAGGGGAATTCTACCAGACATTTAAGAAAGAATTAATATTATTTTTCTGAATATATTCCAAAGAACAGAAATGGAAGGCAAAGTGCCAAACTCATTCTATGAAGCCAGCATCACCTTGATCCTGAAACTAAAGACCCCACTTTAAAGGAAAATTGCAGTCCAATATCCCTGGTGAACATAATTCAAAAATTCAGAACAAGATTCTAGCTAATAGGATGCAACAGTACATTAAAATGATTATTCATCACGATCAAGTGGCATTTATTCCTGCACTGCAGTTGTGGTTAAACACCTACAAAACATTCAGTGTGACACACCACATCAATAAAGAAAGGATAAGAATCATATAATTCTCTCAATGGATTCAGAAAAAGCATTTGGCAAAATACAGCATACTTTCTTGAAAAAAATTCAGTGTAGGGATAGTAGGAACATATCTCAACATCATAAAGGCCAGATGCAAAAGACCTTCAGCTAATATCTTCCTCAATGGGGAGGAACAGGATAAGGATGTCCACTCATCACTGTTGTTGAAGTTAATACTTGGTGACCTAGTCTTGGCCATTAGACAACAAAGAGAAATCAAAGGTATTCAGAAGAGGAGAGAAGTTAAACTTTCATTCTTTGCAGATGACATGATACTCTATGTAGCAAACCCAAAAGATTCCACCAAAAAATTTTTAGAACTGTTAAAGGAATTCAGCAAAGTTGCATGGTATAAAATCAATGCACAGAAGTCTGTTGAATTTCTATAAACCAACAATGAAACAGCAGAAAGAGAAACCAAGGAATTAATCCCATTTACAATTGCACCAAATAACATGAGATACCTAGGAATAAACCTAACCAAAG